AGAAAGAAGAGATGCATTTGAATGTGCTCCCAAAAATGTCTGCCGCCCTAGCTCGGAGCAGGAGTAAAGAAAGGCAGGACGCTGTAGGTGGCTATCCTTGCTCTTCCCTCCTATTACTCAAAACATAAGCAGAGAAAAGGCAGATGTGTGGAAACAGAATTTGAGTTTTCGTCCAAAGGGGATATGCAGCACCACTCCCTGAGTGAATGTAGTACGCAGTCAAAAATGAGAGTCTGCTGGTAGGAGGACTACTTTGGGGACCTTCCCCTGAGGAATCATCTTTAGCTACTGCAACCAACACCTCTGCGCCCGTTCACTTTTATCTTGTTTGTGCTGTACTAGGAGGCAGCAGGGATCGCAGAAGCGGCAGAGCTGGGACGTGCAAGTGCAGGAGATGAATGACACCAGTGCTTTCTCAGCAGGTTCCTGAGATACAGCACAGCGCGCTGCTGTGGGGTGAGCCCTGCACATGGAGAGAAAAGAGCCAAAAGCCGGTGTAAATCTTGTTTTGTATGGGCCGCACAACCCCGAGGAGCCCATGGCGATGAATGTTAAAGGAGGAGGAGGGATTCAGCTGAAAACTACTCTGACTGTGCCACAGAAATGCTGCTGACTGGTTGGAATAGCTGCGAAAACAGAAGGCTTTGGGATAGACGTCGAAACGGAATGGACCTCAGCACAGAAAGTCCCCAATCAATATCCGTGCCCACATAACAGACTTTGCAATGGCCTGTGCGAATAGAATGGGATGCATTGAAATAATCCCCACACAACAGGAACTTCTTTATGAAGTTTTCCTTTTGGTATTATCTGCTCCAGAAAGCAATCTTAAGTCTGAGTCACCAGTATTATTCCATCTCAAAAAGTACATTTTATAAGTCTTTATGTAAAAAAAAAGCATAGGCTGCTAGTAGCAATTGCTTTCCTAAGACAGACAACAATGGCAATAGTGATAATGTAATAATATACAGGGAAAACTTTCATAGCATAAAATGGATAATAATAGACAAGTGACAGAACGTTAATAGCTATTTTATCTGGATGATCATATTTTATCTGGATGATCAGTGATTTTTGTCCTACTTGGAGCTTCTCTATAGAAGGGAATACTTTAATTCTCAACCTCAAGTCCACTCTTCTTCAGTTTGGAGGGTTTGGAAAGCTATAACCTAAATCCCTCCAATACTCTTGCAGCTAGTGTTCTGGATGCAAATTGTTACTGTCAATACTTGGGAGAGATTTGGAGGGCAGGGGGGAGACAGGACCATTTCCCTATCACTAATGGCGTTTACTGGCAATTTAGAGATGTGAGACTTTCCTGCACCTGCACGTCAGTGTCCACGCTCCACTTTTGTGGGCATGATGAGTGTCTATAATTTTTAAAAGGTATAATCTTAAAACATATGAAGATAGAGAAACAATAAAATATTTTTTAATATATTTTTCTTTGCAAGGACTGGGAGTGATAAAAAGTAGAGTAGGAAAGTACTTGCTTTTATGAGCTGGTCAGTGTGAGTTCTTTTACTGTAAAAGTAATAAATCTGAAGTTTAAATTTGAAGCTACTAAAAGCACCGAAGAATTAAAAAAAAATGATGTCAAGAATACCTTGATTATATATCCTGGAATGAGTAAAAATGAAGCTGTCTATTTCAAATGCAGACTTGGTTTTTAAAGATTGGTCACCTAGCACCATCTTCTGGCTATGTAATAATTTTTGTTTTCTCCCTGACTGCAAATTGTTACAACCCTGTAAATATTATGATTGTGGTGCCACCTGCTGGGCATAACTTCTAGTCACTCTAGGAAAAAATGATGTTTGCTAAGCAAGTAAACTTCCTGATTCTAAGAATTATAAATTATTCATATATAATATTCTAAAGAATTATCATGGATTCTATTTATTCTCATGGAGAAAGAGGCTATATGTAGGGTCTCCCCCAAAAATGTATACACACTTTAACAGCTGATAGATCAATTTTGAAAATGAAATGAATTTTAATAAACACTGCCTTTATAATTAATTATTCAAAGGGTATATATACATTTTTTGGGATACTCTATATATTCCTTTGGTAACTCATTATCTATATTCTCTGTTGTTGTCCCCATATAAACTCTAGCCACATGAGAAATTAACTTAGATACAATTCTAGAGTTAATATTGAACAAAGGAATCAATGAAGTAGTTAAACTAGGGGGAAAATCCAGTACTTTCTGTTGGACTGTTTTACATTTATATCATGGGTTAGTGTATTAGTTTCCTATTGCTGCTATAACAAATGACCACAAACTTGGTGGCTTAGAACAACAGAAGTTTATTCTTTACAATTATGGAGGCCAGAAATCTACAATGAAGATAATGGCAGGGTCTTGCTCTCCCCCAGGTGCTGGGTAGAACCCTTTCATTGACGGCATTCATTTGCTTGCTTCCTGCATTCACTGGCTTGAAGCCACAACACTTCACGTCTGTCTCCACCTTCACTTATCTTTCTCCTCTCTGAGTGTCTAATCTCTCTTTTTACCTTTCTTATAAAGACACTGGTGATGGTATAGAGCAGCCGTGGGCAAACTACGCCCCGCAGGCCGGATCCGGCCCATTTGAAATGAATAAAACTAAAAAAAAAAAACACCGTACCCTTTTATGTAATGATGTTTACTTTGAATTTATATTAGTTCACACAAACACTCCATCCATGCTTTTGTTCCGGCCCTCCGGTCCAGTTTAAGAACCCATTGTGGCCCTTGAGTCAAAAAGTTTGCCCACCCCTGAGGGTCCACCCAGATAATCCAGGATAATCTTATCTCAAAATCCTTAATTTAATCATATCTGCAAAGACCCTTTTTTCAAATAAGGAAATATCAATAGGTTCCAAGCATTAGGACTTGGATGTATTTTGAGAACAGTTATTAACCTACCACAGATAATTTAGCCCTTCAATTTTGAAATAAATGTAGGAAGGGCATTATACACTTTCATTCTTAGGGCTACTATATACCTGAACCTGACACTGGATAGGAGTTAATTTCACAAGGACCTGCTTGTTCTTTCCACCACCTAGAGCTGTAACTTCTCACCTCTGTGGTGTAGCAGTAGCTTGGGCCACACTTAATGTGTCTCTAGGCCACTGAGCCACTGCAAGGAACGCAGATAACCAGTTACTGCAGTTAGAATGCTGGAAATAACAGGAAGCATTTGGGGGGGGGGCGCATTATTACCTTTGAGAAATTGTCTTTGACAATATCTTTATGTACTTTTAATCATATATCCTCTTTGGTATGATATAAATGATATGTCACTGTTCTGGTTTTTAAGTTCCTTCTGGACCAGCGGATAAGTCAGGACTCTAATTGCGGCTGCATATAGGAATGAGCTAGCAGATGTCATGAGCCCCACAGAAACCTTGGGCCTGGCACAGACTCCCAACATAAATAAAAAGGCAGAGCAAACAGGGGGAAGAGTAAATTTCCTAAGATAATCTTTCAAGATATCTCTACAGTTTCTAACAATGCAAAAGTCACCTGGTACAAAGTGTTCATTGAATTCAGCAGGAAGACCATTAGTGACCATTTCAAAACAAGTACCCATAGGGTAGTAAGGGTTGAAGGAGGTTGCAGTGAGCCAAATATTACACTGGATGTAAAGAAGAGGAGGTGAGAATTGCAGACAACTCCTGTGAAAGTTTCCTGTAAATAGAGGTGATGGACAATAGTTATAATCGGTTGTTGTTCAAAGGTTTTGGTTTACTCATTTGAAGAGAAGATTTGAGTATATGGATTTTAAATGTTTAAAGGAAAGGAAATATAGAGAGGCTAACAAGAAGAGGAAGCAATATGTGGAGTAAGATCTCTGAAGAGGTTTCTAGGAGGGAAATGGCATGAGAACAGAAGTAAAGAAATTTATTTCAGTTAGGAGGAGGGGGGCAACTTTTTCAATCCCAATAGGATTACAGGAAAAGGGTAATGCGGATACAAACACGGTTATATATAGGCTCATACATGGCAAGGAGTTGAGATAGCACCTCTGGGCTTTTAAAAGCTATTGGTGGCAAAGCATAGTGATTAAGAGCACAGGCTCTGAGGCCAACTGTGTAGATAAATCCCAGCTCACCCACTAATTGTATAACCTTGGACAAGTGATTTAACACACCAGTGCCTTGTTTCCCAGATGATAACAACCACACATACTTACCCTTTTGGGGTTGTTGTAAGGAGTTGGTGAGCTAATATGTATAAATTCATCTAACAATGCTGAGCACTAGTTCTACGTGTGTTTGCTATTGTCAGGGAATGGAGCAAGAGCCGTCCAACTTCTGCTGAAAGCGCCTGGGAGATGCTGGGTTCAGAGATTTTAATACAGGGAGGCGCCTGGGAGATGCTGGGTTCAGAGATTATAATAGCAGGGAGGTGGTTTGAAGGGGATGCTACAGAATATAAAAAAGAAAGAGGTGAACATAAAAGAAGTGGTAAGCCCTGATGAGGACACAGGTTAAGTTGGAGATTATGGGTATGTATGTATTGCAGGAATCTTCAAGTATTCTCCCATTTCAGCCCAGGGAGAAGGCCAATAGTTGGATGGATCCAACTGGAAGCTGTGATGGAAGAACAGTGAGATCAAGGAATTGAGAACGCTGACCATAGGCTGAAGTGAGGGGCCATGGAATCGAAGTGAAGAGGACATGGTGGAGAGTAGAGATAAGGACAGAAAAGATGAAAAATTAGTATTCTGTGGTTGTCTGAGCAAAAGAGCTGGAAGGATATGGAACTGAGGTAACCTGGCATCCCTAATGCCACTGGTGCTCTCTAGACAGCTAGACAGCTGGAGACTTCACCTTCCTTTCATTGGATGGGAGGACAGCTAAAGAGAGGGCGGGGCTCACAGGGGGAGGATAAAGAGAATTGTGATGAGATAGGGCGGGGCTCCTAGGAGCAGGTGGCCTGCCTGCAATTACTTGGTTGAGATCGCGCAGTGGGCGCCAGGAGCGCTCTGAGGCTCTGAAGCATGTGCCTGCACTGTATAGGGGATGAAAGCACCCAAGTTAACCCCGTGAGTCTCCTGCCCTTAACCCCACCTCGGTCACCCTTGCCCAGGCTATGAGCTTGTAGGCCAGAGCATCCAGTAGAGCATGCCGTTTGGTGCTGGGGGGTGGGAAATCCCTGGTGAAGTAGACAGACTTGATCCTGGGCTTCAAAACCTGCCCTGCCCAGGACAAGGAAAAGCCCTACACTGTGCCTTATAGGTGCCGCACTGTTCCATCATGTTTGTTAACTGACACATTGAGCCGACCTATAAGGTGGGGTGAGAGTTACAGAGGTGGGAAAAAGGATGAACTTCTCAATATTCAGATAGGGAGGAGGTTATTTTAGGTCTTTGGGTTAAACAACTGATCAAAATGAGGACAGAGGGAAGTATTTATTGTATAATTTAGAAATTTGGGGTGGCAGGGGGAGATGTGGAAACCTATTAACTACCAGCCAAACTCGCTGTGCCTCAGAAAATCAAACCATCTAGTGGAGTTTCTCAATCACCTCAGCTTTCCCAGGCTTTAGAACCTGGACTAAAAACCAGTTCCTTAAGCAAAGATCAGCATGGCACCATTGAAGTCATGTACCAACAGAAACATGAATGTCTGGATTTATCCTACATCTGTTCTTCCAGAATAAATCTCTGTAGTCAATATGTTCCCTGTGTTGTCCAAAAAATAAAACAGACAACTATTTTAGCAGCATGATGGCTATACCTGAGAATAGTAAGAGAATCGCTATTCTAGACAAGTATGCTATAGCAAAAACTATAGGTTAATCCAACAAGCAAAGGAGAGGAATTTTATAGAGAAAAAGGAGGAAGCTGGTAGAGATTGTTTTGAAAGGAAACCCATTGGGGGGAAAAGTGAAAGTGGTTTCTCATTGGATGATTTGCCAGGAAGAAAACCTTTCTTCCTCCTGCTGGAGTGGTAAGTCTCTTCCTGTTGAGACACATAACGGACAGTTCTTCCTGATAGGGTCTGTAATTGATGTCAAGTGGTACTGCCTGAGGTCTCCTCCTTCTGGTCTCCAACTCCATTTTAAATGAAGCTTCCCTTTATCAATTTTCATGCCAATAATGTTGTTCATAGCTGGTTCTCTTCTAGTACTATCAACAATCTCCAACCTGGTTTTTACCTTCTGCTCCTGCCACTTGCCATCAACATAATATGCATCCCATATAATAAAAGCGTAATATGCTAAGTGTCTGACCATCCATTCGACTGTACGTTTGACCATTTCACCAGTCACTATGATGCGCACTGACAACCAGGGGTTAGACGCTCCAACCGGTAGGTTAGCTTGCTGCTGGGGTCCGGCCAATGGGGACTGTGCAAGACTGGCCAGACACGCTCTGGAGCCCTCCTGTGGTCCCTCCCCAGCCGGCTGGCCCCCATTGGCCTGATTGGGACTGGGAGAGACAGCCCCGATCAGCTCCGATCACCAGCCAGGTCGAGGCACCCCACCAGTGCATGAATTTGTGCACCGGGTCTCTAGTATATTAATAAAAAACTGTACCCATATACTTCCTGTTATAATAACTAATCTTTCTGTTTGCTCATGACTTGATAGGTGTTTTTTTTTAATTATTGCACATATTTTGTAGGAAGGACCAAGAATTTCTCGTCCTTCAGATGTCACTGAAAGGCAGGTAATGTTTAAATAAATCATTCTGGGTATTTCAAAATTGTGACTTTATCTTGTTCCTTTATGTGTGATGGTCCGGATATGAGAGAACCTTTATTAGATAGACACTTCTGTGTTATCTTTCTTGGGACTCTGGAATCTTGTGACTTACTGTTGATGGGCAGTGGGTAGTTTGCACATTTGCCTGTAATAAACAATGCTATTGCAAACATTCCGGTATGTCTTTTTTTCCCAGTGAACAAAAGTTTCGCTTTATTATTTAGGCAGGAGTAGATAATCGGATCATAGGAAAAGAGAGTTTTTCATTGTTATGAAGTAAGGTCTCATTGTTTTCAAAGCAATTGTACCAAATACACTCCTATTGGCAGTATATAAAAGTTCCTATTATTCATATCCTCTTCACCGTAATATTCTTTCATTATCTTCAATGCATCCTAGTGTGATCCCTTAGGTACCTGCTACTTATAGATGTCATACAGCAGGGACATAAAAAAAGCTCTGTGTGATATGCAGCATTTAAGAGAACTAAAGAATGTGCATGGATTTTGTTCTCTAATTACTATAAAAATCCCTTTGGGTTTTTTACTTTATGTTTATTTTTTTTTATTTTTTTTTTGCAAAAGAGGGAGAGGGTTAGAGAGATAGAAACATAAATGAGAGGGAAACATCATAGATCCACTGCCTTCTGCACGCCCCCTACTGGGGATCAAGCCCGAAACCTGGGCATGTACCCTGACCAGGAATAGAACATTGGTTCCTAGAATGACATTCGACCGCTAAGCCATACTGGTCATGCCCTTTTAGGGCCTTTAATGGATCTATCTAAATGTGCTAAATGGTTGGTAAAGTAGGGATTAAGAGTAAATAGTCTCTTTTGAAAATTCTACTGATAGTCCCATATGTTTTTTCATCTATAAACCACACATTTGAAAAGAAGATTTTTTTTCCTACTTTTATGTAGCTTTGTAAGTCATATGCACTGATTGATTCATCTTTTTTATTGACATAAACCAAAAATATAATCAGCATGTTACTTTTTTGTTATAAAAATATTTTTTATTTTTTTTATTTTCCACAAGTCCATAAATAAACGTATTCAGACTATGAAAACCCTAAAGAAAGAGAAGAGGAAACTTAATAAGCGGTTTGCAAAGCCCGCTCCTGTTCCAGAACCAGGGCTCCTAGTAAGTATGAAGACTTCCATCTAATGAATGGCCCTTAATGCACCAGATATCCTCATTCTTAATTTATGTAAGACTCTAAATTGTGTTTTTCCACTTTCCTTTGAGAAATGTGTACTTGCAGTCTGGGAAGGTACCTTAAAGCTCCTCTAATGAAATTCTCATCTATTATTGAAATCTCCTTTGTAATCATCCCTGGAGGTGCTGTGGTTTAATGAAGAGTGTGATCTTTGAAACCATGTTCTGGATTCCATTTTTTGCTTTGCCATATACTATCTGACAAAATTATTCACTTAAGTATTTTGGATTATATTAATTGGAAAATAAATGACAAAATCTTCTGCCAGATGGTTATTCAGACTAGGCCTGAAAACATCAGAAAACTCTACACCAAACAGACGTAAGTCTACGAAAAGAAAATCCCCATGTTTAACATTTCTGTGACACCCATTATGTTAGAAATGACTTTGAGCCAAACTGTTATCTTCATCTCCCACGAATTCTTTCTGTTCCTAGTATTTGTTGCCTGACTCACAGAAAAAAAAAAATGTTTCTATCAAATTTCCCCCAGATATTAGTGATATTGGCTATTAGTGATTTTCATATCTGGATTGTATCTGAACGCAGCTTTAACTGGGAATAGCATTTCTAGTTCTTACATAATTCTCTTAGCAGAAGAAAGGCTTCTCCCTTTGATACCTTTTGCAGATGATTTATAGTTGCATAAATATTTCTTCATGTAAACAAACTGAATTCCTTTTTCTTGTGTATTTTGATCTCTTAGTGGCCATAAAGCTGGAGCCTGTATGGAAGAAATCTGTGGATTTCTGACACCAAGTGGCATTTCCAGGTTTTACTCCATTTGAAAAATAAAGGCAATACTCTGCACTTTCTGCAAAATAAACAGAATGCAACCATTTCACATCCAAGCCACAGGCTCTAGAATTTCAATAAACAGCATATCTCCCTACCACTTTTTGGAAATTTGAAATTTTGGAAATTTGAAATTTGTTTAGTTAGATTTATGACTTATGTAAAGATTTAAAATTATGTTTTAATAATAAGGAAAAACAGATTCCCTCTGCTGTATATTTATAATGACCTGTGTTTAAACAAAATGTTTAACTAAAACCTGTATTATGGGTTGATATTGCAAATAAGCTATAGTGCAATTATAATTTTCATTCAAGGTAAAATTTGAATATTGAATTAAATATTAATTTTATGTATGATATGGATAATCATATGCCTCTGTAAAATGCTTGCTTAATTACATAATTATTAACAAAAAATAAAATTATCACAATTGTTTTAAAACTAAAGAATTGCCAACTATTAGATTGACAGGGTCATTACATTCAGTGATCATTTGCAGCCTCCAAAATATAACTTGAAATACAGGGGATTCTGCTTCTGGGCATGATGGAAGTACCAGAATTATGTTTCCACACTAAGCAACTAGAAAACAGGAAAAAATATGTAAAACAATGGTTTTCAGATATAAGACAAAAGTCAAAAAAGGGCTGTGATCCCTAACAGAGGAGAAATAGGTGAACCCAATGACTACCCATTTACTGGGTGGGGGAGCAATCCAGATCTTGATGCAGAAAAAAGAGTTATAAGCAGAGCACAGCAATTTTCTTGGGTTGAGGATGAGTTGAGCAACAGAGATAACAATTCAGGAAGTGTGGGGCAGCTGGAAGTTGTAGGCAGAATTTCCAGAGCATAAGGAACTATACACAGCACTTTGTAGCTCTTACATGGCTTGCAGTGAGTCTTTGCTGAATGCTAAACTGCATGTTCACAGTGTGAAACTCAACAAAGTCAGATCTGTGCAATCTTAGTCCACTATCAATGTCCAATGTCTAGTATCCAATCAAAATCGCTAGGCATGTTAAGAAGCAGAAAAAATGTAACACATAATCAGGAAAATCAAGTCAATAGAAAGAAACACAGAAATGAAAAGAAGTTACATAATTAGAAGAATTAATTTAAATAAAATATATGTTAACTATGTTCAGTAATTTAAAGAAAAACATGAACAAAGAGAGGAATAAAAAATATTTAAAAGAACTAAATAGAACTTGTATAACTGAAAAAATCTAAACTTTAAGAAGTCATGAGATTAACAGTATATTAGCTGTAAAAAAAAAAAGCCATGAAATTGAGGATATAGCAGATATAGCAAGAGAAATAATCCAAACTGAGACAAAAGAAACAGACTGGAAAATTTATTAGTGCCTCGCTGACATGTCACACCATATCACGTGGTCTAACATATGAATAATTGAGAATGTCTAAATAGGGGAGGATGGGAGTAAAAACGAATTCCCACAACTTTTCCAAATTTAATTAAAATTAATCCCATGGATCCAAAAAGCTTAATAAACAACCAATACAAAGACCAACAGTTATCAAATTACCTCATAACTGAATTGCTGAATAATTGAAAAGAGAAAGGAAAACAGCAGGGGAAAACGGTCATTAAATATTGAGAAACAAGCATAAACATCCACAAACCTCATTAAAAACTATGTAAGCCAGAATGACATCTTTAAAGAATTGATTAAAGAAAAACCTGTGAAACTAAAGTTTTATATGGAACAAAACTGAAGGCAAAAATGCAGACTTTTTTTCAGAAGTGCCAAAAAAAATATCAACAGTAGGAGAAAGCTCTTTAGGTGGAAGAAAAATAGTATCAGATAGATTCTTAGATTTATACAAAACAATAAAAAGCTCTGGAAATAATGCACATACAAGTAAATATAAAATCACTTTATTCTAATATTTGATTTTAAAATGAACTGACTCTTTTAAGCAAAATTAATTATTATGGCTGTAATAACACATAGAGGTAAATGTATGACAACAATAACAAAGGGTGGGAGAGTACAATCAAACATTTCTTATATTTTAGGAGAAAAAGTATACTATTTGAAGGTAGACTTGGATATGTTAAAGACATGTTGTAGGTACTAAAGAAACCATACACACAGAGAGATATAACTAAGTAGTGATAAAAATGGAATACTTAAAATCCATCCAAATGAAGATAGAAAAAGAAAAGAATGGATTTAATAATAAAGAAAACAAATGGCAAAATAATAGGTTAAATCCCAAATAATCAATAGCTACATTAAACCTAGATGGTCTAAACACTCCAATTAAAAGGCAGTATCAAGAACTGTGAAGAATTCAAAATGTTATTCTACTTAGAAGAAACAAGTTAGACTGTCACAGTTTCATAGATGCTGGCAGAAAACAGACTTACTGGGTGGAGAACAATAACTTTATTATGTCTGGCACAGCGGGCAGTATCAAACCCATGCTTACGTTGGTTCCCTTGAGTCGCCAAGCCCCATGAGGAGAGGCAGAGCTGTGCCAGGTGGATACTGTGTACACTGTGGGTTCATGGGACAACTAAGAAAGCCCCAATCTTACATATGGGGCTGCTGAGAAACTTGCCCAACTTTGCTCCAGAGAAAGATATTATCTCCACTATACTGGACAGTAAACAAATCTGCTGTAAACTAGCATCCAAGTTTACTTACTATATAACATCCTTAAAAAGACAGTCTAGGGCAGTGGTTGGCAAACTCATTAGTCAACAGAGTCAAATATCAACAGTACAACGATTGAAATTTCTTTTGAGAGCCACATTTTTTAAACTTAAACTATATAGGTAGATGCATTGTTGTTAACTTAATTAGGGTACTCCTAAGGCTTAGGAAGAGCCACACTCAAGGGGCCAAAGAGCCGCATGTGGCTCGCGAGCCGCAGTTTGCTGACCACGGGTCTAGGGGAAAAAATATTAAAACCTTTGCTAAGAGAACATACAGAAACATGCAAGACCAATGGAGAAATTTCTCCCAACAGGCAGAGATTGTCAAGCTGGATTTTAAAAAAGGCAAAAAGAACTACAATATATCTACCGCAAACATGCTTTGCATATGAACATTAATAGGTATAAAAACAAGATGATGCAACACTATGTCCCATGAAAACACAAATCCTAAAAGTAGAATGGCTATGTTACTAACACGAATTCGTCTTCAGAGTAAATCATATTACCGGGTGTATAGATGAACACTTTATGATAATGAAAGCTTCAATTCATCACAAAGACATAATCATAAATAGATACACCCAATAATAAAGCATCAAAAGACATTAAGCAAAAACTAGAACTCAAAAATAGGTAAATCCACAATTATAACTGAAACATAGCTTTCCTCTCGAAAATTGATGCAACAAATAGAAAATTATTAAAGATGTAGAAGATAGCACTCCCATTCAAGAATTTTGCTGCTATTTATAAGACATTCCACCCAACATCAACAGAACACCTATTCTTTCAAGTGTACACTGGAAGACGAAAAGACACCATCTGCTGGGCCTCCAGATAAATCTCAGTGAATGTCATAGAGGCCTGAAGTGATACCGAATGTGTCTTTTGACCACAAAATATATTTTAAAAATTTGAACTCCGACTATCCAAGAAAATATATGAACTGATATTTCTAAACGAACATGCAAGTAACCAAGTACAGTACATGAAAACATGGGAAATGCGAAATAATACTATTATATGTCCATTTGAATTCATAAAATGAAAAAGACTGATTATACCAACTGTTGGCTAGGATGAAAACTAACTAGTACTTTCTTACATCGCTGATATAAATGAAAATGGTTTAAGTACTTTGCCTTAAAAAAATTCCTAAAAGCCTTAGCTAATTTGGCTCAGTGGTTGCCCTGCTGGCTCGTGCCCTGAGGATCCCAGGTTCAATTCCATCAAGGGTATGTAACTCAGTTGCAGGCTCGATCCCAGACACCAGTCCCCATTTGGGCACTTGTAGAAGTCAACCAATCTATGTGTCTCTCCCACATTGATGTTTCTCTCTCTCTGTCTCTCCCCCTCCCTTCCACTCTGTCTAAAAATCAATGGGGAAAATATCCTCAATGAGGATTACCAACAACAAAAAATCCTAAAAGGTTTTCCATGTGAAATATGACCTACTTATACCAATCTCAGGTGTCTCTAAAGAGAAATATACATGTTCACACAAAGAACTGTACACCAATATTTATAGAGTTTTGTTCTTAATAGCCTCAAAATGCAAACAGCCCATATGTGAATGGATAGGTAAATTCCTTTTTAAAATGTGATTCATCTATAGAAATGGAATATTATTGAAGACACACGCACAATAACATTAATGAATTTTAAAACTTCGTGTTGAAGAAGTACACAGGATCCAAATTATCTGAAACTATAAAATACAGTCACTCTAGAGCCACAAAAAGCAAATCTGTGTTTCCTTAGGGCACAAATAAATGGATATGCCGTGTTTATGGATCAGAAGAGTTAATATTGTTAAAGTGTCCATTGTGTTCAAAGCAATCTGCAGATTCAATGCAATTCCTATCAAAATTCCAATGGCATTGTTCACAATAGAACTCACAATCCTAAAATTTGTATGGAACCAAAAAAATTCCAAATAGCCAAAGCAATCCTGAGAAAGAAGAACACAGCTGGAGGCATCACACTTGCTGATTTCAAACGATACTACAAAGTTATAGTAATCGAATGGTAGAGTACTGGCATAAAAATAGACACATAGGCCAATGGAACAGAATCAAGAGCCCAGAAATAAGCCACTACTATGTGATAAAGGAGCTAAGAATATGCAAAAGGGAAAGGATAGTCTCTTCAATAAATGGTGTTGGAAAAACTGGATAATGACATGCCCCAGAATGAAATTAGCCCCCAATCTTACACACCTCACAAAAAATACCTTAAAATGGGTTAAAGACTTAAACATAAGTCCTGAAACCACATAACGGTTCTTTCTGAGGAGCTGTCACTTCACATCCTACCTTTTTAAGATTTGAAGATATTCCAACAAGCAAGAAAAACTAGTACAATGCAAGGAAAAATATCAAAAGCAATTGTGTGAAGATATCAGCAACTTCAGCATTACCCAGTTGCTTCCCAGAAATGAATCTCAAGTTTTACCCTAAACTTACTAAATTATAAACTACACGTTAGACACCCAGATGATTTTTATGCCTATTAAAATTTGAGCACCCAAATATTTCTGAATAAATCAACCTCCATCATTTCCCTAAACACCAGAAACCAATGGGCACCTCAACTAATGGCACATTCACGAGGCTGGCTTCTAAACCACAGCCATGAACTGCACACTCTACTCTCTCTCAATGAGAATAATACTGAGCCACTTAGAAGGCAGAAAATGGCACTGAAGTCCATTTGCAATTTCAGCCAGCTTAGTTCCATTAAACTTTGATTTCTAGGAGGCCAGGGTCCCATTTCACAGAAGTAGCAGCATAAACTATCAGTGTCGGGGCACTGATTCATAAATGGACAGGCAAAGGGAGCCGCGAATCCCATTTCTCCATCCCGGGCCAGCACGCAGCGGGCGGCAGGCGTTTCCAGGTGCCCAGGCC